AGGCAAAAAACTTGGAGACATGCCCACCAATCGATATCCGTCTAGCCGAACAGAACTTGAAAATCAGCTTGTTTGCGCAAATCAAGATCAGGAAATTGCTATAGAATGTGGTAATCGACTTGCTAATAAATGCTCTATCTTGGATAAAGACAATAAGCTTATACAGAAGGATCTAAATCAGTCAAATAAAGATAAAGAGAAACTTTCTAAACAAGTTTACCAGCTTATAGATGAAATTAAGTGATTGAGATCAGAGTTAAATATTTTAACATCCCAGATTACCCAATCACAGATTTCCCGTGACGAGTATAAAGCCAGATATGGTATACAATTAAAAGAAATAAAATCTCTTCAGGCTATGATTAAAATATTGGAGGGTAAAATAGCATCAGCCCAAAAAGACGCATTTTCGATTCAGGAAAACTTATCAAAAACAGAATCTGAGAATCTATCCCTTAAATCTAAAATGGTTAAGTTTAAACAAATAGAAGTTGAATTGGAACAAGTGAGAGGTAAGTTAGTTTCGGCTCAGGAAGATTTATCGAAAAAAGAATCTGAGATACTATCCTTTAAATCTAAAATCACTGAAGTAGAACGGAAGTTAGTTTCAACGGTTAGTGAGCTTGAAAATCTGAAATCGGAGGATATCTCAGTGGAGTTGACACGACCAAAACCTATGATCGGTGGGAATGACGAAAAAAATATAGTCAAGTCTGACTCACAGAGTGAGGATGTTTTCGCATCTAATAACGGAGTTAGTGCTAAAGCACATATATCTATAATTAGTGAATCTAGCAATAGTCTTAGACCGTATTTAGCATGCAGAAAAAATATAGAAGATATCGAAAAAATCGATGATGATGACAGAGGCATCCCTATACCCAAGGTAAGTGACTTATGGAATGAGGTTGCTAACGCATCTGCAACTAGTATTAGCGAAACTAGTAAAGATATTATGTTAGACACACATATAAATTCAGATCCGCAGATTTCGACAAGTGGTTTAATGTCACCATTATCAGCATATATATTACTTATCTTACTGTTTATTGCTGTTATATGGTTTGTGATATTAAGACGTGGATGGGGCATAGGTAAAAAAAGTAAACAGTTGCAGGATATGTGGATCAGATAATAGGATTATTTATTTGAACTTGGATATTATTCGTATACAAAAATATAATAATTTTTAATCATGTCTAGTAACGGAGTTAGTGCTAAAGCACCTATTTGTTATAGTTGTAAGGAATTATCACCACTATTGTATACAGATCGCATTGTTACTAATTCCTTTATGGTTGTAGGGATGAGATTTCGTGGTGGCCATAAGTTTAAGAAACCAGATATCATTACTCTTGAACTGGAGCCTTCTAATACATATGATAAGAATGCGATAAAAGTTATGGTAGATGGCATTCATAAAGCCTATGTGGCAAAGAATGAGAATGTGAGTATAGGAGATTTGATGAAAAAATACCCGAATTATCGAATCACCGCTCATGGGAAAAAGAACTATAATCAATTAGCATCTTTGAATCTTGAATATCCTTGGATGGTCTGTAGGAGTTGTCACGATACGCTACTAGCATCGAGAGATTATGACTATACTTATTAATGGATCTATTTGATTTTGGGAGTTATTTATATACAGAAAAAAAAAAGCATCTAAGATTATTGATAAACATTTGCGAGATCGAGATTTTGTAGTATTCGATTTTACTAAAGCGGTGGACGATCCTTTAAGTGTACGTCTTGGTTGGGATTCACCTCTGAAATTGGATGAATAGATTGGGACTTCAGACCTGCAAGTAATTCTTCCACTTTTTGCAATTTTAATTTCTGTTGATCGATTTCACTGCGCAATTTATTATTAGCATTAACCCATTCCTCAAGCTGTTTAGTGATTTCTCGCATAAAGGAGCCAAAAGTTTTTTCGTTGAATTCAAGCAATTGTAGGGATAAACGTCTCCACGATTCTTCAACTAAGGAAGGCGGTAACTGCTTTATTAAATCTGTATATGCTCGATTGAATTTCATTTGATACACCGAGTCAAAAATTCTATCGAATCCTGAAAAGTTTATAGCTTAAAATAAAAAAGTGTGAAATCTGTTATATGTATATTAATTACCAAAAGCAGTCGCAGGGTGCCCTATATATTAAATGATAATTTGACCGGGACTTTTGAATCCTTTATTTATTGTTAAACTATGATTTGATCTAATACATGCTGTACGTTTAGAATTACATAAATTTATGAAACATATGCTAACGAAATAAATAGATATATATGAATAAGTTATATATGAATAAGTTATACATTAGCGTGAGCAAGCCTTCGGCTAATAAATTAATCGAAAAAAATATGTATTATGCTTCAAGTTCTAAAAGCCGCTTTCGGAATCTAACTCGTAATTGGTTTTTCTTACAACCTGTTCAACTATACGGAATATAATATTCTTCATATTTTTTAGTATAAATATCTATAGGTATACTAGAATTATTTTGTTTATACATTGTAATCCATTTAGTACGCCATTGATTAAATTGTTCTCGAGTCCGAGTATTTTTCACTTTACGTCGAGTTAAACCTAGAAATTTCTTATCATCTGGAGTATTATCGTTTGATAAACTATTCCAGGTGAGTCGTGCATTTAACGGTTCCCTTTCTCTAAAATTTCTCCAAAGTCTTTGTATAACCCTTGCACACCCAAACTCAGTTTGTGGTCTTGAGGAATCATAAATGGATTGTGGTCTTGAGCATTCATAATCATAATGATCTTTCATTAAATCGAATTGACTTGCTTTTGGACCTAAATTAACATTGATATGCATAAGTTTCATACAACGAAAACATATTGCAGTACCATCTTCATATGGTCTACCTCTGCTGTAATTATATTTATCAAAATTCGCACCTTGAATATATGAAGCATGAGGGCATAGCTCGTGGTATGTAGATCTTGTCCCTCCTGGACCTATTAAATCTTGAAGAGCGATCCTAACACGAATACTCCACTGAATGGGTGTTTTCCCTTCAAAGATCATACTAATGGAATCATAAGGCCTCTCAGCATCAATAACTCTATTAAGTACATTATGCCCACCAGTTATTGCGAGTCTTCTATTTATATTATGATGTGGTCTGGACATATTTAACGATTATATGAGATTTAAGATTATTTAGAGGTATTTTGACCTATCAGATTTGGTTCAATATATATGATTATATCTGGATTTATTTTTTGTTGATTTAGGTCTACGCTTAAAAAATAAGAAGTTGTTTTGATATATAAGGGTATAGAATTAGTATAGCTGGCACAGTCAAGACTATCTACTGTTGAGAACGTTGTTAATCTTTCTAGCTCTTCATCTTTTAGCTCTTTAGTATCCAACTTAGATAGAAACGCTCTATTTGTCGATATGCTTCGAAGAAGTGCCCTAAAGAGCCAGATTGTATAACTCCTGATCTTATACCGAGAAATACGAGACATATCTCTTTAGAGCTGTGAAGAGTTTCAGAAGTTATATGTCGGAAATATTATCTGAGCTAGGTTTGATTACATATCTGTGTCAATTTGTCACGCATATCATATGGAAAAATAAAGTATCTTGAGTTCGGTAATGGTATTTATAGCAGAGCTAGTGTCTCTAACACATATAAAATTACTCGTGTAGATATTGTTGCAACGATTACTCATGATTGACAGGCATATGAAATCAACAAATGATAGTCATGATAGATCCTGAATGGAGAATCTATTTCGGACATATAGTTTATTCTCGGAAATAAGTACCAAAACTGGTTCATGAATTTCACTGGTAAATGGTTATGAGATTTTAACATGAGTAAATGACAACAACGAACTATTCTCTCGCAATAATAGTATAGCAATGATATTTCGTGCTTACAGTTTATGATAAGTAATAACTTGTGTAACTCGATATTTTCGCTAAAATAATTAAGACCTTATGGGTCATTTCTTCAAAATACCTATCATATGATATTTGTGTCATAGAAGGAATTCGAAGAAGCAGAACTTCGAGTGTACTACTCATGTAATACTTTGCATGGGTTTTCCCCAATAAAACCTGCATATATCATTAGGTCATGCGATACACTGATTACCAAATTTAATTAGTGCCCCTTACACCCTGCATATCTATGTGAAAATATCTCAAAAGTGGATATATAACATCGCTTTTTTTACTCTCATCGGTCTTTATTTATATTTACCACAAAACTAATCTGATATGTTGTATTCTTTACATATAGGGATATCGATAACCTGGTTTGAATAATCGACTCGAGATATATACATACTCTTTGTTCTCGTGCATATACCGACTTCTTTCTTAATCTATAAGTTGAGATACTAAAAAAGGGAATAATGAGACACATTAAAAGGAGAGTATAGTGATGTTGTTAAGGATTCAGTTACGACTTTATTTGTAATTTTGATTTATTGAAATATTATATTTTTTACTATCAATATGTCTACTGATTTACAAAACAAAATTCATAATTTTTTGATTAATGCTGAAGAACGCCATATAAATGCTACTGCAGTTATTCATCAAGGCTTGAAAGAAAATCCCTGAATTCTGAAAAATGAGTTGAGAACAGTTGTAGACCGAGTCGTTGGTTATATTAGTAATTTGTGCCCAGATGGCTCTTCGCATCAACGAAAGCTTTTTAGAATTCATTCACAGGTTAGCTATTGATTTTTTTTTACGAAATTATTTTTCATTATATGATGATATTATGTGGTCCACTATTAGATTTCTGTACTGAAAAGTAACTTAATTATCCTGTTTACCCGCTCACGATAAACACTTGCTCAACAATAGAGGAATATCTAAGCTATAGACTGTTACGCAGTAATGTAATTTATCCTACTAACCTATTGATGAGAAAAATTTATCACCTGTACGGAGGATAAGAGGGTTATATTGTTATGTAGAAGTTTAGTACCACACAGAGTTTCATTGGCGTGACGGCCGCACAAAAATGATAACTTTGCATATGTACTGATAATATATACCTTTTTTTTAATGATGTTTTTTATTGCTGAAAACTAATGTATATTTATTTTCTAGTTTGAAGATGCTTTTGAGGGAGTATCCACACTATATGATCTTGGGGTTGTTAAAACAAATAAGGAAAAGCCTCTTAGCTTGGACCAAATCAAAAACAATATGATTGAGCTTAAAGGGAAACTCAAAAGAGATACCAGTTCTTTATATCAACATTTATTATCTGGTGTAAATGAAATATCAATTACAGAACTATCTTGGAAAGACCCTTTGGCCAGTCAGGTGATTAGCGATGAATCGGAATTTGTGAGAAAACTACCAGGAAATTTAAAAAAAGGGTTTATGGTAAAGAATCATATATATTTTTCAACTATGTTTTATTAGCATTATTAATGATATATAATTTACATTAGAAACCTGTTCGTAAAATGATACCTACACCCATGCCAATAGTTCAAGAAATGTGTAGAAATTTTGTACTGGATTTTAATAAGTATGAAATCAAGGCGAAACCAACTAAATTAATACACGATGGGACCTGGAAAGAATCCAAAGAGGATATCAAACGTGTGGTCAAAGAAATTCTTAATGTCTTGAAAGATATTTGGAATAATCCAGCATTTGGTCCCAAATTTGCAAAGACATTAAATGAGGGGACTTACCAATCGACTGTTATAGTATCCGCCATTCGAGCTTCATTGAAAAATCTTCCCATCGGAAACTCGTTCTTTATTAGTACGTCAGAGAAGCAAAGTATTGCAAGTGCTAATAGAAAGGGTGAAGGTTATATGGGAAGACGTCCAGATATTATGTTTGTAGTGAAATATCTGGAGACAGTTTTTGAACTTATGTATGTAGAATGTTCTCGATTAATTCCCAGTTCACAAAAAAAGACCGACGATGAGATTAAGTTATGGCGAGAAACTAATGATGGACTATATTGGATACGCCAAAGTCTTAAACTGGATAAAGATCAGTTTGGTATTGTAGGTATGCAAGTAGTAGGTAATGTATTGCACTTGAATCTTCTCATACGAGATATGGTTAATGTGCATCGATATTACCATTTACAGTCTGCAGAGATTCCTGTACAATTTTCAGATGAAGCCATTGTAACTAAATTTATAGAAACCTTGTTACTTTTACATAATATAGTAATTACTAATTTATCTTTACTTTACCACGCACCTGTTTCCTCATCGCAAAGACAAATGGAGGAGAGTACCACAGTTTCCACTCCACAAGATGATTATCAATAGATTTTTCTTCGTATATTATGTATTTTATCCTGTATTTTTATCATATATTTATTAATAAAGATTTTTGGTTAGAGGAATATACAACGTATCATTTGTTATTTTTTTGTATAATGTATATATGATCGAGAATTTTTCTGATCGTGTCAATTTGTCACGGTTTCTATCACATGGAGTCACTCCCTTGGGCTCTCTGTCACATGTATGCAGATTAACAATCAATTATTAACGAAAAAATTAGGTACATTTATATGTCAATGCTAACACGATTAAATTTTATTTCATAGATTGTGACAGCTTGTCACAACGTCACGTTGTCACCGGTGGTCCTTGGTTCTCAAGAACCACCTGATAAAGTGACTTTACGGTTCTTTTAAGGAGTTTATAGTCCTTTCCCGAAGGTAAGACTGTTGTTCCATTATTTTAGAAGGC